TGATTATCTTTTCCAGGATTTTCCCAGGTTTTGATGTCAAGCTGAGTGGTCTATAGGTTCCAGGATCCATTTTCCTTCTTTTAGTAGATTGGAACAATATCAGCTCTTTTTTTAATCTTCTGGTAGTTCTTCTATGCTACAGGAGCTTTGAAAGATTATATTCAGTGGCTCCGATATTATATCTTCCAGGTCCTTTAGAACCCTGGAATGTAAACCATTATTTTTTGGGCCAACCTCAAAAAATAAAAAATCCGACTTGCCTTGGTAGTGGCCCTTTCCTTCTGTCTCTCAAAGCCATTCCCAATGCCCATTACATCATCTCACAACAATCAATAAAAGCAATAGAATAAAAACAGAACAATACTTTTCACCAGGCTTCAGACCAACCAAACTATTAACCTTCTGACTCCACCCCCATTTTAGCCTAATGCTGATGTGATGAGTCAGGTCATCATGGCTTTTGAAAGGCTAGAAGGGTAGGATCCCCTTAAATTTCAGATGGAAGGCTATTTCAAAAGGCTGGGAGAGCTAAATGGAAAGTGCACTTCCAAGGTCTCATTTGGGTCCTGAGAAAAAACATTGTTTACCTAAAAGGAACTCATAATATATCAACTCTGCGAGCACTTACAGGCTTGGGAGAAACCATAGGCGTAATTAAACAAAGCTTTATGTAGGGCTTGTATTGTAGTTTTTATGTGATTCCTTTGTCAAATTATTAATAAGTTGTGCAGTTTTCAAAATTAGAAGAGAGAAAGTGACTCTAGAAGAACGGATTGTTCCTACTGAATAGTCTGGTTCAGAATTAAGTTTGACTGAGTTCCTTGAATCCTACTCCTAGATAAATCAATATAAAATTATAGCTTGGGAAGGCACTGAACTCAGGGTACTTACTTCTGAACAGGCATGTATAAGATTGCAATGCTAAATGTCCCTTTCCTCAATAACTATGTGAAATCCTTGCCTTCGTTTATAATTTAAAGTCATTTCTGCTTCATCGAATAGAGTAGAGTAGAGTAGAGTAGAGTAGAGTAGAGTAGAGTAGAGTAGAGTAGAATAGAATAGAATAGAATAGAATAGAATAGAATAGGAAGGGACTTTGGAGGTCTTCTTGTCCAACCCCCTGCTCAGGCAGGAAATTTTGTACCATTTCAGACACATGGATGTCCAGTCTCTTCTTAAAAACTTCCAGCGTTGGAGCATTCACAACTTCTGGAGGCAAATTGTTCCACTGGTTAATTGTTCTAACTGTCAGGAAGTTTCTCCTTAGTTCTAGGTTGCTTCTCTCTTTGGTTAGTTTCCACCCGTTGCTTCTTGTCCTGCCTGCAGGTGCTTTGGAGAATAGCTTGACTCCCTCTTCTTTGTGGCAACTCCTGAGATATTGGAACACTGAATCTAAGAACTCTGCGTTGATGTGTCTAAAATACTGTGCAGTTAGATTAATATTTTATGGGGACAAAAATAAGTGCTAAGCAAGTGTAACTTTCCATTTGCGTGGCCGGGTGTGTTAATAAGAAAATGAGATTGATGGGGAACATAAAAATTTGGGGTAAAAATAAAAGCCCAAAATATAACTTGTTACATCATTTTTATTGTTGAAGCATTGCCGCTTATAATTAATAGGGGATCGGGATTAGAACTGATTGTGGTATTATATCCAGTTACATGGAACTAAATTCTGTTACATTATTTCTGGAATACTTGATAGTGCCTCAATCTGCATACTTTTAACCCTGATTTCAGTAGCAGAAATACTTGTGATTCCAGTGGCTGTTTTTGAAGTGTCACCATTTCTCAGAGCACAGTAAAGCATTGAAGCAGATAATGGAGTGCAATTTTAGCCTTTCAAAGTGACACTAGCCAACCTGCCTATTTACTGTTAGGTCGGTCACTGATGTTATTTTCCACAGATGACTGCATAGCTAATCTTCCAGAAAACAAAACAAAAAAAAAAAAGACAAAAACAGGAGTGATTCTGATTTCCTTTTTAATATGCAGAGACAAATAAAAGGACTGCATAGGAATTCACATTCCTAAAATGTTGGAGGAATGGGTGCATGTAGAAAATTAATTTCTAGATATATGTATATTGAGTTCATTGACAGAAAATATCTACTATAAAATAGAAAGCTCTGTATGACTGCATTGTATGTCTGCATTGCATCTGAGATAATGAGCTTCACTATATTTAAATGTGCTATTCCCTATGAAAATGAAACACATTGCAAATAAGGATTTTACTATTTAACACATTTTTCAGTCTTACTTTCAGTGTTTGTGTATATATTATAGCTTTAAAAAGTGGGAAAAATGCATTCTTGCCCACAGAGTTCTTGATCAAAGTATATATTTTCCACACAGGATTGGTTGAATTTTCTGACTTATTCTTTATTTTTTTATATATGTAATATTTTATTAGTTTTCTATATTTACAATTCATAGTGCTTGGTAAACAACGTGTTGTCTAGGTCCATTTGTTTTACTTAATAATAAACATTAAATTCCTAATCTCTACCTCGTTTCTCCAGCCATTGATAAAATACGTCCCATATTTGAAAATATTCTGTATCTTCTTTTTCTTTAATCTTCACTGTAAGTCTATCCATTTCTGCACAGTCCACTATTTTCTTGATTATCTTTTCTTCAGATGGCATTTCTTTATTTTTCCAGTGCTGAGCAAATACTGACTTATTCTTTATTTTTGTACATCTCTTGCTACCATTTTCTCAGAAGAGGAAAACTATAATTATCAATGGCAATATATTTACCTTCAAGTGATACAATTTTTAACTTCATTATAATACACGGATATGTTTTAAAGAAAACTTTATTGTCTATATTTGTTTTTCCCACCAGGCATAACTACTGTCAGCTCCCATAATCACTACGCAACATGTTCTAATCCCAGATGCAGCTTTAGAAGCAATAATCTAGAATATTAATAGAATGACAATTATGATCTTGACTATTAGTTTGTTCTTGATCTTTTTCATGCATAGGCATCTATTCTTACAAGATGTTTTAGCACTCACTCACCTTCTTATTCATATGCATCTCTTCTTTTTTTAAGTTTATACTGTAGTCCCCAATTTATGACCAATCTCTTAATGGCCGTTCAAAGTTTTGATGGACCCCCCCCCAAAAGCTACTTGAAACCTGGCTTCAAAGTTACAACATCACCTCTCTTGCAGTCACATGACCACATTTTGGGTGCTTGGCAATGGGGTCACATTTATAGATGTTTGCAGCACCCCAAGGTCATGTGGCCATGATTTATGACAGTTTTGCCAGAAAGCAGTCTTTATTTCTGATTTCCTGCAAAAAAAACCACGCCCATTAGCGTCCCTTAATGACCACCACATTCGCTTAATGACAGCCACAAAAAGGTAACAAAATCAGGCCCAGTCATGTGATGATCTTCTTTATGATAATCACAACTTACAACCATAATTGCCAGGCTCAATTACAGTAGCAATTCGAGGATATCCTGTATAGCTTCTGTCTTGCTTGGCAATTAATGCACACATCCACCCACCGATAATTTATTTTTATTTATACCCAAGTTTATATGAGAATATAAATCTGTTCCTGATCTTTGCAATGCTGCATTATCTGTCCTATTCTCTCTCTCCATTTTTTAAAAAGTTAATATCTCAAGGATAGCTATCATTAGCAAGGTGGATAACTTGAAATGGCTGAGCAAATACAAATGTACTTTTCAAATAGACAGCTATTTGAAGTTACAACTGCCAAAACATCTAAGGGACATATTTACGCAAGCGAGATTCGAACAGCTCGACACAATGGTCAGATATGGGAGATTCCATTCTATACCCTACAATGAGCGTCTCTGCATTTGCGGAGCGCCAGAGGTAGAAGACCTGGCTCACATACTATTCGATTGTTGCCTGTATAAGAGGGAGAGAGACAGGTACCTTGGTCTATATACCAAACGAATGACCCATTGGGGTCCCCATATCAAAACAACTAACCTTATGTGCGGTCAGAATCTGAAAATGACATTTAACACAGCACAGTACTTAAGCAAAATGGTCCAGTTGAGATCTGCATATGTGGGACTGATTGGAGTAGATTGCAGGGGTGACACCGAAATATAATTTTATCATATTTTATCTGTATCTTAAATTATTGTATTCTATTCCAATTTCATTTTAGACTGTATTTTATCCCAATTTCATTTTATTTTATTCCAATTTCATTTTAGACTGTATTTTATCCCAATTTCATTTTATTTTATTCCAATTTCATTTTAAATTGTATTTTATCTAATTCCATTTTAAATTGCTTTTATCAAATTTTAGTAATAACTTGTCTCTGGAACTTTGCACTTTGATATGGCCCCAAGGCAAGAGCTAATCAATAAATAAAGACAATAATATCTCAAGGATATTACAGTTGTGGAAATTTTAAACGTTACAGGTTTTTTTTCTCCTCACCCTTTCTCCTCCTCTTTCTTCTTTCTTATTCTGTGCTGCAGACTGTACTTGAATATGCATGAGAAAGGATTTATCCTGAGTGCAGCATATTCAGTTTACAGACTTCATAATTGTTTAAATGGTCCTTTTGAAACCCGTGGCCCATAATTGACTTGGAAGGATCCTTATTTGGAGCAGGCTTCTAGCCAATCAGAGGGAGTTTAGATAATGACGGTTTGTGCTGCAGAAATCAAAGCATCTGCTCTGGAGGTCTGAGCAAGCGCAGTGATGCGAGACACGCCGTGAGAGATATGGTTTCTTTCATAAGCTTCCATTGATTCATTTCAACAGCCTAATGCTGTACGAAAGGTTTGTGGCTCTGCCCAGCTCTTGGTTTACCCCAAATAAACTAGTAAATAAAAATAACCATAGCTTATCTACTGTTTTATATTTTCATTTTGGAGTGTGTGTGTGGATGTTCTTGCTTCTTGTCCTCCTTCAGAGATTGGATTCTGAGCTGCCAGCATCTTTTCTCTTTTCTTATACACCCCCTTCTTCCCTCCATAGGCTGGCCCTGGGGCTGTCATCATGGCTACAGGAGTTCCCGATTATAACAGAACAGAGTCTGACAGATTAAATGAGATCAAAGGCCACTTGGAAATTGCCTTGCTGGAAAAGCACTTTCTCCGTAAGTACAAAGACATTTTGTTTGGGTACTCAGTATTGTATACATATATATATATATATATATATATTTCCTCATTATTAGCTGATATTATGTTTTTAATTGACACGATCCTGTCATTCTGGCAAAGTTATATTTTAAGTTTCCTTATTTATAATTTGAAGTCCTAATTAGAAAGAAGTTTTCAACAATGACTCAGGAAAGATTTCTTTGTTTAGTTAGAAGTATATGGCACACAATAACCTCCAAACTAGTTTGCTTTCCATTCAGTATAAATTCAGAATATTTTAATGATTGAATAGAAGCATGAATTGGATTATGATAATAAAACAAGCCCATTTTTAGATTCTGTTATTAACATAGTTTTTTTTAGGATTAGTAACGTTTTTTGTTTAATGGTTTAAGTGTTGGGGCTTAAGACTAGTCTGGCTTTGTTTAAATTGTATGTGCATTTCATTTCTGTTTATCAGATTTATTGGACTTGATGCAAACAATGAATTCATGCATTTGATATATTTTCAACTATACTCTTTTAATTATGTACAGTATAAAATTAAGATATAAGCATTAAAAAGCAGAAAAGAACCATAGTCATTACAAATATGGTTGCAAGACAAAATAGTACAAGGAGATGCTATATTGTTATAGCATTTTGGATAATTAGGCAAATTGTAGCTGAATTAAGTAAAAACCCTTTGAAGCCAAAACATTCTCCCAAACATCATAAATCTCTGGTTCGAATGTATAAGTAAACAAGGAATGGCATCTAAGTAATTATTGTGGAAACTGGAAATTTATGGCATACAGCAGTGATGGCGAACCTTTTAGAGACTGAGTGCCCAAACTGCAATCCAAAACCCACTTATGCATCATCAAGTGCCGGGTGGGTGTGGCCCATTGGATGGGCGTGGCCCATTGAGTGGGCATGACTGCAGTGGTAATGGCAGACTGGGTGGGACTAAAAAGTTCAATCAATCAATTCCAACTTTGCAAGATCTTTTTTTTCCCGCAAGAAGTTGAAATTGACTGATTGAACCTTTTTTTTTTTTTGTACATGGCGGCGGAGGCCTAAAGCAAAAAGGTTTTATAAAACCCAGCCGAAAGCCTAAGACTGGGGCGACGGCGCGCGTGCCCACAGAGAAGGCTCTGAGTGCCGCCTCTGGCACCTGTGCCATAGGTTCGCCGCCACTGGGATACAGCATTAGTTTGTTTAAGTATTTTGTTCAAGATACAATTGATCTGGTAAGGAAAAACCCTGTGAAAAAAATGAAAGGTGTGCAAGTCTGCTATATAAAAGGAATAGCAGGATTGATATATTTGATTTCATTGTATCACTGAAGGTAATATCTACAGTATACTCAGGTCTCCAAAATTTATCTGATAAAAATCCAGCAGCAATCCTTTATCTGCCTATTTGTTGTGAAGGGATAATACATCAGCCCTTCAAGGTAGTTCAGACAGGAAACCAAAACAATGAATACTAATGTTACATTGCTAACACTTTGGAAGATAGACTCAAGGTTCAGAAGGATCTTGATAGACTTGAGGATTGGTCCCTATCCAACAAGATACAGTTCAGTGATGTGAAAGATAAGATCTTGTGCTTAGGCAGGAAGACCAAACACTAACTATAGAATAGGTGTTACTTGGCTTAACAGTAGTAACTGAGAGAGGGATCCAGCAGTGTGCTGCAGCTGTCAAAAAAGCCAATGCAGTCCTAGGCTTCATTAACAGAGGGATAGAATCAAGATCACATGAAGTATTAATACCACTTTTTAATGCCTTGGTAAGACCACACTTGGAATACTACATCCAGTTTTGGTCGCCACGATGTAAAAAGGATGTTGGCACTCTAGAAAGGGTGCAGGGAAGAGCAACAAAGATGATTAGGGCCCCGGAGACTAAAACATATAAAGAATGGTTGCTGGAATTGGGTATGTCTAGTTTGATGAAAAGAAGGACGATGGGTGATATGATAACTGGGTTCCAGTATCTAATAGGGAGTCAACCTATTCTCCAAAGCATCTGAAGGCAGGATAAGAGGCAGTGGATGGAAACTGATCAAGGAAAGAGCCAACCTAGAACTAAGGAGAAATTTCCTGACAGTTAAAACAATTAATCAGTGGAAAAACTTGCCTCCAGAGGTTGTGAATGCTCCAACACTGGAGGTTTTTAAGAAGAGATTGGACAACCATTTGTCTGAAATGGTATATCACTTCCTGCCTGAGCAGGGGGTTGGACTAGATGACCTCCAAGGTCCCTTCCAACTTTATCATCATCATCATCATCATCATCATCATCATCATCATCATCATCATCATCATCATCATCATCATTATTATTCTGTTATTCCGGTTGTTGGGCTACAAGACTCCAGAACTCCTCCTAACCCTACATTCTATGTCTATTAAACTTGTAAGTCTGAAGGTACAGATTTCCCTCTATTACTTTTAACCACTTGATCTCTTATGGCGAGTTCTACCAAAGTTTCTTTCTCTGACAGTTAAGCCTCTGGAGTCTGGAGTCTCCTCTCTCTCTTGTCTAGGATGCCCAAAGTCACTTGTACATTCCATTACACATATACATTAGCACTCTGTGTATAAGAGGAAAAGATTGTGCCAGCTGGGGAAAACCAGATGCATTCAAGATGCTTGGTAATATCTACCCTGATATAGATTGAATGAATAGCCTCATACTGAAAAGTTTCTCCGAACACTCTTCAGAAACCTTAGTTGGTTTTTAGATGGCTAGATTGTGAAGGATGTGTGACTAGCTCCCACGCTGCCTTATTTTAAATGACAAGTGAAGACACATTTGTTCAACCAGCCATTTGCAGGATGACAGCTTCTCTAGCATTAGTCTTTTCAACTGCCTTTTAAAAATAAATTTAATTTTAATTGCTGTTTTCTTGTTTTTCTTGGCCGCAGAAACACTTTATTGAAAAGACTTTTATTGTCCTGTTGATGCATTGCACTGTATTCCTAGGGAAGCAGAAGTATAAAAACAAAAACCCAATAGCAATAACAATACTAATAACAATAGCACTTAGACTCATATATCACCCCATAGAGCTTTACAGCACTCTCTGGGTGGTTTAAAATGTCAGCATATTGCCCCCAATAATCTGGGTCCTCAGTTTACTGATCTTGGAAGGATGGAAGGCTGAGTCAACCTTGAGCCCCGTCAGGATCAAACTCCATGTTGTAGGCAGAGTTATTTATCCCCCAAAGTTGTTGAAGTTCTTTCCACACTGAACTTAATATGTCTATAGCTTTTATTTGCTTCTTTTACATTTTTTTAATATATGTTTCTTTTTAATTTTCTTTAATTGTAAGCTACTAGAGTTGTGGAATTGGGCAGCCTCAAGACTGAAAAATTAAATTAAATGAAGATTGTGATTAAATTAAATGAAGAGTGGGACAAAAAGTAATGGGTGGAAGATTATTAAAGAGATATCCAACCTGGAACTAAAGAGAGATTTCCTGACGCTGAGAACAATTACAATGGAACAGCTTGCTTCCTGGAATTTATGGGTGCTCCCTTGCTTGAGGTTTTCAAGAAAAGATTGGACAACCATTTATCCAGAATGGAATACGTCTCCTGCCTTGGATACGTGCTTATGGGTGTTCTTTGTAATTAATGAGCTGTTACAAGAATGTTTGTGGAATGAAAAATAATTAAGCAAAGGTAGGACGCCTGTGTGGAATGTTGAACTCTGTAGTAAAGAACATTCAGCATGGGAACATAGACTCAAATAAAATAATCTGCCAATTCCCATTTCAGTTCCCCAATTATGTGCAATAAGAGTAAACAAATCACATGTTCTTTGGGAATTGTCTATCTCCTAGTCATTGACACATCTCATCTATATTTCCTCTCTAAGCCGGCTCATGCAGTTCATAATGTTCCCTGTCCTATAAGCTATGTTCAAATTGAATCCTGGATGGGTTTTTTTTTTAATTTCTGCTGAGGCCACTTTCAATGGATCAGTTGACAGCTAATCATCTCAAATAGAGTGATCTGGCTTTGCTGACCTACATTACCTCTTTGGCTCTCTTAATGCCTGGCACCTCACCAACTAGAGTTCTGCTACAGAGCTAGGATGCTGTTATAATTACAGTACTCTACTGTGCCCTTCTGCTTGAGGCTAATAAACAGTTGTTAGCAAAATATTTGAATCTGTTTAATCATTTTCTAGAAACTAAACATGAAGTATTATGCTTTTATCCAGCATGGCCTAACCAAAATATGTACAGCAAGTGCTAAATAAAACTTGTCTCTTCCTTGGAAGGCCTGTTAGATTCCTTCTTTCCTTCCAGGTAAAAGAATAGAAATAAAGAGTGAAAAGTGCCAAAAATAGAAAGGGAAATTTTATGTATTAATTTATTAAATTTAAGTGCCACCCATCACACTATGCCAAGTGTTTCTTTGGGAGAAATAAAAAGGAAATAAAAATAGGAATATAATGAAGAACAACAAAAGTAATATATAAAGAAATGACTTCCAACTTTCATCCTTTAGACCAGGGGTAGTCAACCTTGGCTCTTTTATGACTCGTGGACTTCAACTCCCAGAATTCCTGAGCCAGCACAGCTGGCTCAGGAATTCTGGGAGTTGAAGTTCACAAGTCATAAAAGAGCCAAGGTTGACTACCCCTGCTTTAGACTTTCAAAAGTCTAAAAACTTTTTAGCAATTTAAAATATAACAAATGATCTTTTTCTCCCATACTCCATCTATATCTACAAAAAAAAACCCAACCTTAAATCCTCATCAATTCAGTCCTGATCAGCAAAAGTCCATTAAGTATTACCAGTGGCAACAACATTTCTATTTAACCTTTAGCCTTAGTAAGACCGCATTTGGAATACTGCATCCAGTTCTGGGCACCACAGTATAAAAAAGATGTTGAGACTCTGGAAAGAGTGCAGAGAAGATCAACAAACCAACTTTATATTCCTTACTTTTACTTCTAATAATCTTAAACCATTCAAATGTCATAGTACTTGATTTCTTTTCATTTTTTTTCTCTGACTGTTCTCATGAGATTATTCAAAACTTTAATAAGTCTCTTTTTAAAATCAAATATAGGAAAATTATCCATGTGATGCTCTTAGTTTATGGTTTTCATATCTGTTTTAATTATTAAGACATCAGTCAGTTTCTTCTGTATGTCCAGTGTATCATCTTTTTCCATGCCATTCTTGTAGCCATTTGTAAATCCACTTTCAACTCAGTCTCAGGTAAAATTTGTTCCCTTTCTATAACATCTTTTAGACCCAATTCCTNAACATGAATAAAAAGAAAGTCCCTACAAACAGAAACACCATCTCCCTGATGATCTGGTAAGTCCCTCCCTCCCTCCCTCGAATAATATAATTGCAATACCGGTAGTAAAAAGTCATGCAAATTGGAAGAAAGGTAAAAGAATAGAAAGAAAGAGTAAAAGGTGCCAAAAATAGAAAGGGAAATTTTATGTATTAATTTATTAAATTTAAGTGCCACCCATCACACTATGCCAAGTGTTTCTTTGGGAGAAATAAAAAGGAAATAAAAATAGGAATATAATGAAGAACAACAAAAATAATATATAAAGAAATGACTTCCAACTTTCATCCTTTAGACCAGGGGTAGTCAACCTTGGCTCTTTTATGACTCGTGGACTTCAACTCTCAGAATTCCTGAGCCAGCACAGCTGGCTCAGGAATTCTGGGAGTTGAAGTTCACAAGTCATAAAAGAGCCAAGGTTGACTACCCCTGCTTTAGACTTTCAAAAGTCTAAAAACTTTTTAGCAATTTAAAATATAACAAATGATCTTTTTCTCCCATACTCCATCTATATCTACAAAAAAAAAACCCTTAAATCCTCATAATTTCAGTCCTGATCAGCAAAAGTCCATTAAGTATTACCAGTGGTAACAACATATCTATTTAACCTTTAGCCTTAGTAAGACCGCATTTGGAATACTGCATCCAGTTGTGGGCACCACAATATAAAAAAGATGTTGAGATTCTGGAAAGAGTGCAGAGAAGATCAACAAACCAACTTTATATTCCTTACTTTTACTTCTAATAATCTTAAACCATTCAAATGTCCATAGTACTTGATTTCTTTTCATTTTTTTTCTCTGACTGTTCTCATGAGATTATTCAAAACTTTAATAAGTCTCTTTTTAAAATCAAATACAGGAAAATTATCCATGTGATGCTCTTAGTTTATGGTTTTCATATCTGTTTTAATTATTAAGACATCAGTCAGTTTCTTCTGTATGTCCAGTGTATCATCTTTTTCCATGCCATTCTTGTAGCCATTTGTAAATCCACTTTCAACTCAGTCTCAGGTAAAATTTGTTCCCTTTCTATAACATCTTTTAGACCCAATTCCT